CCACCTCCTTTCTCCACCCTCCTTTCAGGTGGTTGTAGAGTGCCATAATGTCCCCCCTGAGCCTTCTCCAGACTAAACAACCCCAGTTCCCTCAGCCACTCCTCATAAGGCTTGTGCTCTAGACCCTTCACCAGCTTTGTTGCCCTTCTCTGGACGCACTCCAGCACCTCAATCTCTTTCTTGTAGTCAGGGGCCCAGAACCGAACACAGTATTCGAGGTGCAGCCTCATCAGTGCCGAGTACAGGGTGACGACCACTGCTCAAGTCCTGCTGGCCACACTATTGCTGATACAAGCTAGAATAATAATAATAATGATGATATAATGAAAAGAAAACTAACAGAGAGCAGTAAGTCCCAAGGAAGACAAGTGATGCAAATGAAAACAATTGCCCAGTCAGTCCCTGAACAGTAGCTCCCCCAGCCAACCTTCTCCCTTTATTGCTGAGCATGACACCATATGGTATGGAATATTCCTTTTGTCAGTTGTGGTCAGTCCCAGTTTTGTGCCCTTCCAACTTATTGTGCTACCCACCCCCCTTGCTGGTGGGGTGGTGTAAGGAGCAGAAAAGGCTTTGATTCTGTGTAAGCAAATAAGGAAAACATCCCTCAATTACCAACACTGTTTCTAGCACAAATCCAAAACATATCCCCATACCAGCTACTATGGAGAAAATTAACTCTATCCCAGACAAACCCAGCACACTGAACTATGCACAGTGCACATAGATACCCAGCAAGTGTTTGCATCATTTTGGCTGTTACTGGAAAGTTCACTGTGTCATCCACACTTGTCAAGAGATGAGGACAAAACCGCATAACTGAAAATTCACTGCAGTAAACTGAAAATATTCTTGGCTCTCCTGCCTGCAGATGACGTAAAGAAGAAGAATGCAGTCATTAAGGCTGAAGTCTGTTTACAAGCTCTAAAAATGTCAATCATCTCAGACATCTGGTAGGACTGCACTCAGATAACCCAACCTGTGAGATGGCTGTGGCACAGCAGGCAAAGGCACAGCAAGGGTGCTCAAGGACAAAGGGTCTGAAATGAAGTGTGGCTTTGCTTTTCAATAGCTTTGTTCAGCTTTTCAAGTTTTTTTAATAACTTTTAATATCAGACACTCACCAGTGCTTGGAATAAACCTGTTCAGATCTCAGGGA